CGGTGTGCGCGGCCTCGTCCTCATCTCGGGGGGTCGTAAGCCGCGCGGCCCGAGGGCGAGGGCGGGTGGGGAGGCTGCCGGGGTCGACTGCTGGCTGTCGCCCAGGCCATTCACCGCGTGATAGTGTCGGTCCTGGCCGTGGTCCAACTGGCTGCTGCAAGTTACGTCCCAGGTCGTCTATTGCCGAGTCAGTATCTCAGGCACGCGCGGGCATGCGAACAAAGGGTCACGCTCCGCGTTGAGGAGAGGTCCGACGTGGAGCTTCCATCTGTGCGCGCCGCCTTGCGGCGCATCGCTCGGGCAGTGCTGCTGGTTGCAGTCGTGGCACTGCTGCCAGTCGGAGTCGCCGTGCACGTGGTGCTGCTGCTGGTCTCTGGGTGGGGGTTTCTGGTGGAGGGCAGGGTGGGGCGCCATCGTGGTGCTGCTGTCCCCCGTCCTTGGTGTTGCTGCTCGTCTGTCGGTGTGAACCGTCGGGAGCAAGCAGTCGTGCCAGGCCCGGAAGCCATGCTGGCGTCGATGCTGGAGTCGACGCTGGTGCTCGCGATGATGTAGATGACGTAGATGCTTGTCCTGGTGGTGGTTCCGATGCCGATGTCGAATTGGTCGTCTCTGCTGGCGTCGTTGCAGGCGTCGGTGTTGGCGTCGAGGCTGGTGGCTGTGTTGATGCCAGTGCTGTTAACGATGCAGGGTTCGCGGATGGTGTCGCTGTTGACGTCGGGGTGGGCGTTGAGGTTGGTGGCTGTTCTGTTGCATGAGATGATGCCGATGCAGGAGTCGCTGCTGTCGTCGCTACAGGCGTCGGTATTGAGGGCACCCTCCTTTCTCCTCCTCCTCTAAGCTAGTTGCTGAGCAGCAGAGGTTCTTTGCCGCGGTGAACCTGGCTGCTGGTTCGTGGGCGGGGGGGGGCGGAGTTGACGTGGCATTTCGGGCTGGTGGGGAGGGCCTGAGGCGGATCGGATTGATGCGATAGCGCACAGTTTTTCTTCTCCTCCTCCTCCTTCTCCTCCTCCTCCTTCCTCCTTCCTTCCTCCTCCTCCTCCTCCTCCTCCTCCTCCTCCTCCTCCGCGCAGGGGTGCGCGCAGGGGTGCGCGCAGAGCCCTTGCCTTGGCTGCCTCGTCCGAGACCCAGGACAGCGGGCCTCACCGGAGCTAGCGGTCGAGAAGTTTTCTGACAGCAGCAAGCCGTAGCCGCTTCCTCCCACCAGGTCGAGCAGGCAGGCAGCAATGGGAAATTCTGTCAGTGCGAGTGCACAGTTAGGGGAACAAAGAATGACATAAACATGAAATCTTGGAGGTCCGCGCGGATTTCTCGGATCGGTGCTGGAACCTCCTGACGGCGCCTGCGGCGCCTTCCCTGGCGCGCTGCGCGCGCCAGGGACGGGGGCTCAGCCCCGATCCACGGAATCCGCGCGGACCTCCGAGCTTCTATGTCTATGTCATTGTTTGTTTCCCTTGTGATTAGTCCCCAGCTCCAGGTTCTTCTGGTTCGCGGCCTCTTGGTGCGCCGGAACCCCCGAATGCGTGACCCAAAGGGCCCCAGGGGTTTTCCCGGTGTCTGGTCTGGAGCTCGAGGTCCACCCGTCGCATTCTCTGACGTTCGTAGAGGCGGCTTTTGTAGGTATGTTCTCTCTTGCGGGATGGACTCGTTTCTTTCGCCAGCGGTGCGTTGGAATGGCCCCGACCAGGGCAGAGAGTTTAAGCAGAATTGACCGTGGCATGTTTCCTCAGCGGGGAGGTCCCCCCAGAGCCATCAAGTTGGCCATGGCCTCCAGAGATCAGCTGGGGAAAAGTCAGGACCCTAGGTAAGGGGATGTGGTTAATTCGTGGTAGGGCCCTGTAGCCCCTAAGTAGGTCAGAATTACTAAACCAGGTCTGCCGTAGCTGGTGTTTTTTTCGGGTGACGGCAGTTCCGGCTAGTGGAACGGGGCGGGGGGGGGCGTCCCCCAGCACACATCACTGAACCAGGTCCCACTAAACCCAGTTCTGCCAACGCCCGATCAGCGTCGTCTGGAGGGGGAGTTCGGGGGGTGTACTAGCATTTAGGAGCCAAAGCGAGAGAGAGGGCCCCCGCTGAGCCTCTTGGTGCGCCTGCTGTGGTCACCCCGAGCCTGCTATGGACAGGCACGCGCGAGATCAACGGTGTTGCAGGTAGCCAAGGGAGCTTCGGACGCAGGCGAAGGTCCAGATACGATTTTCCGCTGCAAGGGGTGATTCACAGCTTGTGCCTCGTGTGCAACAGGAGGTGGACTCGGAATCTTCTGATTGGCGGCACCTGACGGTAACTTCGAAGGAGATTTGAGAGGTGCGAACGTTCGATAGCAAAGAGTTCAAACGAGTTCCTCCTCCTCTTCCTCCTCCTCGTCCTCCTCCTCCACCTCCTCCTCCTCCTTCTCCTCTTCCTCCTCCACCTCCTCCCTCCTTACCCTCGTCGCCGTCCTCCCCCTCCTCCGACCCTGCCGGCTGCGACGGCGACGGCGGCGACGGCAAGGGGACCGCCGCAGGCCTACGTGGACCACGCCGCCAGCGTCTTCGCGCCGAAGCTTCGCACGGGCACCGAGGCGGGCGTGATGGGCCGATTTTCCACCACCACTGCCATAGGGATGAGATGGAGGAGGAGGAGGAGGAGGAGGAGGAGAAGGAGGAGGAGGAGGAGGAGGACCTTCCCATCCTCCTTTCTCCCCCGTCCTACCTATGGTAGCGGTGGTGGAAGATCGGCCCATCAGGGCGGACTTCCAGAATTGCCGGCTGCTCCAACCCCCCTTCTTCTTAGAGGGGGGGGATCGAGAGAGAAAACGCTGAGCAACATCCACTTTCGGAGCTGCGCGCAGCTTTCTCACGATGTCTTTAATCTGGGCTTGGCCCAGGGGGTTCAGCGCCGATCCAAGAAATCAGCGCGGAGATCCGAAAGTTCATGTTGGTGGAGTTTTTCTTCATCTGGCCTCGTCTCCGACAGATCGTACGCTCGGTTCGTCTCCGTCGTCGTCGTCTCCGTCGTCGTCGTCTCCGTCGTCGTGGTCGTGGTCTCGGTCGCGGTGTGTGTGTGTGGCTACCCGGGACTTGATTCTCTTACATCGGGTCAACCCGCTCACTAAGGATGGGCAACCTTCCCAAGGATACCCTTGCATCCTCGCCTCCTCGGTCCATCCTTCGCCGCTTTCGCTGGCCGCGCCCCGCTCGAAAAGCTCCGAAATGGGCGTCCAAGGCCCTTGCATCCTTATCGCGCATCCTTACTATACTGGTTGACTATACGCAGTGGCCGCAGCCATCCCGGCCCGACGCATCTCGAGCCAGACCGACCACGGAGCCGGGGCGGCCAGGCCGAGGATGCCCCCAGACCGCCGAAGGAGAGCCCAGTCGTCCAGCCACGCCAGCCGCAGGTGTCCCCATGGCCTGCCGCTGGCACCAGGAACCTCCAGCTCGGGACCCGAAGGATCTTACTGGATCGGGGCGAGGCTCAGGCAGGCCTAGGATGAAGGTCTTGACGCTTCGCGTATCGCGGATCCTGTCGGTGGCTCATGTCCGATCGCGCCCAGGAGTCCAAGTGAGTGAGGCTTTCCTCGGCTCCCCCTCTTCTGCCCGCGCGTTCCTTGCTCTCTCGCCTCCTCGTCGTGGTGGGCGGTGCGGCCTCATGGTCCCACTGTGCTGCCACTGAGCTGCTTGGCTCTAACCAGTGCTCGCTGGACTGTACGGTTCGAGCTGGCGCCACTGTGCGACTTCTCCTCCGTCTGCTTCAGTCTGGTGCTTGCGTCCCCGATCCTGGGTCGCACGCGTCTTAATGGGGGGCATTTTGCCTCTTGCAGGTGCACTTGTTGCGTCGGCCTATGCGCCGTCGTAACCAATTATCTCGCCCTGTGCCCCAGCCGCGCCCGCCCCGATTCTCGGATCTGTTCCTGGAGCCGTCCATCAAAAAGTATCGCGGATCCTGAGGGCGGACTCGGCCGCTGCGCTTTTAGGCTTGCGCGTTGCTAATTTGACAGGCCCGTGGCCCGGACCTCTCAGCTCGGCGACTGCGAATTCGCGTCCGCCCGCGACAAAAAATATCGCGGATCCCCACTGGCGCCCATCCAGAATTGATGCCCAGGCGAGTTGCCCTGATCATGGGCGCGTGGGAGCAAGCAGACGCCCCGCGCCATCAATGGCCGCGAAGGGCTTCATCCATGGGGGGTCGCGCGACACGCGCCCGTACTCAAAGCCACAGCAGTGCTCGTCATCATCGTAAACGCGCAAGCAGGATACGTCAAACGCGCTGGGAGGACGAATTGCGCATGCGCCCAGCGCTACATGACCGCGAGACGTTGACAAACAATCCCGCTCACGAAAACATTCAGAGCCGGAGAACGCGGGCGCGATGCAATCCTGGAGACGGCGACGAGCGCAGGTCCTGGGAAAGGGCGCGGTCCTCGAGGGCGGGCGAACACAGGAAGATCGCAGTTTCCAGGAGATGGTGTGGAAGAGGATCGATGGGGAGATGGTGGGGGGGGGAAAGCAGCGGCGGGAGGGGGGAAGGGGAGAACACCGGGGGAGGAGGAATGGTGCACCGGGAGGGGAGAACATGGCGAGATGAGGAAGCCAGTAATGGGGAGGATACATCCCCGACGCCAGACGTTTTTCAATGTAACAGGAACATGCGGATCCCATATTACAGTTGTGCGACCACTTGTTTGATCTTATTTCGCTCTCGGACGGCTTCGATTTTCCGCGCGCGACACAAGCAGCGAATCCAATTCTTTCTCCCAGCGTGGAATGTATGTATACATAGAACATATATATATACACATATATATATATACATACATATATATATATATATATATATGTATATATGTATATGTATATGTATACATTTATATATAAGTATATATAATGTGTATACATTGAAGCATAACGAGTTCCATACTATGTATAATGGCCTTCGGCCCATCCCGCCACCGTGCCTGGGTTGTGGGTATCAAGCCTATTTGATGTTTTTTGGGATCTCGTAGGGGGCCTCTTGTGAGTCTCTTGGAGGCAGTTTTGAAGCCTCTTGGGGGCCGTTTGGGTGCCTATTGGGGCCTCTGTTGGGGCTCTTGGGGCCTCGTGGGGGCCTCTTGAGGGTCTTCTGGAGGCCTTTTGGGTCCTCTTGGGCGCCTCTTACTCTTAGGGCCTCCAGGGGGCCTCTTGGGGCGGAAGGCTCGGATTTGCGGTTCGTGTTCTCTGTTTTGGGCCCCTCTTGGGGCTGTTTTGGGGTCCTTTTGGGCCGTTTTGGGCGCCCGTTTCGCCGTTTTAGGGCGTTCTCAGGCCGTCTTGGGGCTTGGGGTCCTCTTGAGGCCTCTTGGGCCGTCTTGGGGTGGTCTTGGCCTCCTGGACCTCTTTGGAGCGTCGGAAAACAGAACAGACGAGAACGCCATAATCCATCAAACACATAAGGCAAATCAATCATGTTTGCCTCTTGGGGCCCTCTTGGGAGGCCTCTTGGATGCCTCTAGGGGCGTCTTTCAGGATCTTGCGGTCATCTGTGGCGTCTGGGAGCAATTGTTCTGCGACTCGCTGCCCGCTTGGACTGCCTTGGGGGCCTCTTGGGGCCCTCTTGGCCAGTCTTTGGGCCCTCTTGGGCGCAGACAATTCAGGCGACAAGCCGCGGGCGAGCCCAGGGGGCACTCGGGAAACCCCGCCAAATTTGAGAATGTGGGGTCCAGAGTGAGGGCTGAGGCTCATGGGCCGAGGCTTGAGGGATTTGGCAAAGGACCTGATGACACGCCAACTCCGTGCCCAGGGGCACGGTGGCGTATGTAGGTTTGTACATCTGTATATGCATATTCATATGTATTTGCATACATGGTTGTATGAACATATGTAGACGTACATGGATATGTTGATGTCCATGTGCATGTTCAAGTGTACACACATATATACATATATATATATATATAGCTATATATATGTGTACATGTATAGGTATACGTATACATGCACGGATGTCTGCATGCATGTATGGCTGTAGGTATGTGTGTGTGTGTGTGTGCATGTGTGTGGTTGTATGTATATGTGTGAATGTGTATACGCATGCATGTATGCATGTATGCATGCATGCATGAATGTCTATATGTACGTACGTACGTAAATACATGTATGTGGATGTGCATGAATGTATGTACGTATGCATGTGTGCAGGCATATATATATATGTACATATGTACATATGTACATGTATGCGTGTGTATGTGCGCATGCGTGTATGTATGCATGCATGCATGCCTGTGTGAGTGAATGTAAGTATATAACTATATACTTGTGTGTGTATGTATTTATGTATGTATGCATGCATGTATGTATGTATGTTTGTGTGTGAGTAGCTGTATGACTGCATGTATGTTTGTATGCATGCCTGCAGGTGTGTATATATGTATGCATGTCGGTAAGTTGATATGTATGCATATCTGCGTTTGTATGTATGTATGGTTGCATGCATATATGTATGTATCCATGCATGCATGCATGCATGCATGTGTGCAGGTAATACATATATATATATATATATGTATATACATATATGCAGATCGGAGGCGGAGACGCCTTCGGCGAATAACCGTCGCCCCCTGCTTGCTATACGCTTATGTGGCCAGACGTTTGGGCAAGGTTTGGCTACGCTATTGGACCATGCGTTGCCCCAGCTGGTGTGAAAAAGTCATTCGGGGGAGGATGAGGAGGATGAGAAGCAGGAGAAGGAGGATGTGGAGAAGGATAGGGGAGACCTCTTGGGAGCTTCTCGGGTCATCCTTGGGGCCTCCTGGGAGCTTCCTGGGGGCCTCTTGGAGGCCTCTTGGGAGCCTCTTTGAGCCTCTTTGAAGCCTTCCGGGGCGTCGCGGGGGCCTCTTTGGCCGTCTTACGGCGTTCCTGGCCCGTCGGACGCTGTCGGACGCCGTCTTGGGAGCCTCCCTGGGCCGTCCTGGGGTCCGGCGCTCCAGGGTCGTCTTCAATGCCGTATTGGGCGTCTCGGAGGCCTCGTGGGCCGTCTTGAGGCTCCTTTTGGGGGGCCGTCTTGGGGGCCTCTGAGTCCGTCGTGGGGCCTCGTTGGAGGCCCCTTGGGCGATCTTAGGGGCCTCTTAGGCCGTCTTGAGCCGTCGGAAGACCGAAATGATGCAAACTCCAGAGCCTTCGAAAACCAATGGAAAATAATGAATTTTGACCTCTTCGGGCCTTCCTGGAGGACCTCGTGGGAGCCGCGTAGGCCGTCTTGGAGGCTTCTTGGGGGCGTGCCCGAGCGCCTTGGGCCATCTTGAAGCCAGTTTGGACAGTCTTGATGGTCTCTTGGACGGACTCGGAAGCATCTTGGACCCTCTTGGCCCGTCTTGGAGACCATCTTGGACCATCCTGGCCGAAATTGGAGGCCATCTTGGGCTATCTTGGCCGTCTTGGAGGCCCTCTGGGCACCGTTTAGACAGTGGAGACCAACGGGCGTTGCAGATTACGGGGTGGCTGGCGCGCTAGAGCCAAAACCCTTGAGCCTCAGCGCGCCAGGCACTCTTGTGACAGGCCCCAGGGGGTGGCGGACACAGCGGCCTTCGGCCCACCCCGTCTCCGCGCCTGCTCCTCCTCCTCCTCCTCCTCCTCCTCCTCCTTGGGTTGTAGGTCAGAGGCATCTGGAATGCTTTCGAGGATTTTCAAAGCATTTCCTTGGAGGCCCCTGGCTGCCTACCGAAATCGGCCGGGCACTTCCGCCAAGTCTTTCAACACCCACTAGGGGGATGATGTCGGCCCCCTCGCCGGGGCCATCTTGGACGCTGCAGCGACCCGCCGCGGAGGGGCAGGAGGGAAACCAGGAAGAGGAGGGGAGGACGACGCCAATAGGAGCGAAGCGGACGAGGAGGTGGAGAATGGTATTGGGGGGAGGCAGGGGGAGATGGCAACGAGGGGAGCCATACAACGGAACGCGGGAGGGACCAAAGGGTTGGCAGGGGACGAGAGCAGCGGTGTTCCAGGACACGGTCTGGTTGCCGTCGTCTTTCTCCGTCCTCTTCGTCCTCCTTCTCGAGCTGTCGCCCCATCGGTCCTGCCAGAAGGCTCGCGGAGGAAAAATTCCTCCTCCTCCTCCTCCTCCTCCTCCTCCTCCTCCTCCTCCTCCTCCTGTTCATCATTGTCCGCGCGGTCCATCTGTCCTGGTCCTCGTCCTCCCTCCTCACCGTCGCCCTCCTAGTCGTCCTCCTTGCCACCCTCGTTGCCATGGTGGTCCTCCTGCTCCTCCTCCTCCTCCTCCTCCTCCTCCTCCTCCTCCCTCTCCTCCTCCTGCTCTTCCTCCTCCTCCTCCTCCTCCTCCTCCTGCTCGATTCCTGGGCCGTCGTCGTCGTCGCCGCCGTCGTCATCGTTGTTGTCGTCGTCGTCTCCGTCGTCGTCGTCGTCGTCGTCGTCGTCGTCGTCGTCGTCGTCGTCACCCTCCTCCTCCGCGGCTCGGCAGGCCGTTGCCCTACCGTCCGGAGGCATTATTCTCGGACGCCGTCGCAGAGCGGCCAGGCCAGAATTTGGGATTTCCTTGAGGACGCTCCTCCTCCTCCTCCTCCTCCTCCTCGTCCTCCTCCTCCTCCTCCTCCTCCTCCCCATTCGGGTCTCGTGGTTTCGTTTCGGTGGCTCCTCGGCATCCTGCCGCGTCCTGCGGCCTGCGTCCTCCCTGCCACGCCGCCCTCGCCCTCGCCCTCGTCCTCGTCGCCCTCGCTGCCGTGCCCGCCGCCGCCGCCGCCCTCTCACCGTCGAGGGGCCGCCGCAGCAGGCACAGCCCCACTCTGCGGCGGCGGTGGCGCCCGACGAGGCGGCCGAGAAGCGCCCGTCGCACAAGGCCGGGCCGCCCGCCCGCCGTCGCCGTCGTTGTCGCCGTGGCCGCCTGCCGAAGACAGGGCTCATTTCGACTCCGCCGATTCGGTTCGATTCGGCATCGGTGGCTTCCGCTTCCGATGCGGTTCGGCTTGGGATTCCGATTTGGGCTCCGACGTCTCCATGGAGGCCTGCTGGCCTGCCGATCTCCGCCGTTTCGACTTCTCCCGACTCGGCTGCCGATTTCCACCGATCCGGTATATTTCGATTGCCGATCCGACTTGTCGATTCGATTCTGGGATCTCCTGCGAGGATCGACCAGGCTTCCCAGACCTTCGAGGTGTCGACGAAACAAGGACGGATTTGTTTTCGCCGTTCTCGGCGTCTCGGGGCCTCCGCCGGGCCGAGGGGCCGCCCACAGAAGGATCGAGGATGGAAAAGACGAGGTCCCCCGGAAGCGGCCCAGACTCTTGGGACCCCGTATTGAAACCAAAAAATTGACGGTATGGGTTTTCGCCGTTTTCAGCCACCACGGGCCCGTTTCTGGCCCTGGGGCCGTCAAAAGAAAGATCCGTGGTGGAAGAAGTGGCAGCGACGGATGGTGAACGGATTCCAGGAGCCGTCGTTGCCGAGGTCTTTGCCGCTGGCGTCGTCGTCGTCGTCGTCGTCGTCGTCGTCGTCGTCGTCGTCGCGAACGTCGTTGTGTTGGTCGCCGTCGTCGGTACGTAACCCATCCGCTCCAGCCGATGCCGCCTCATCGTGCACCGTCATCTGGCGCGTAACAGTCGTTACCCAGCCCCCCCCCCTGGGTACCGGTGACGATTGTACGTAGGTGGGGTGGGGGTTGGACACGCCTCCATCTGGTTCTCGCGCGCATGCTAATTTTGTCGATCGCAGCGCACCTCCGCCCTGACGTGACCCGCCCCGTCCAAGCGTAACCCTTGCCCGGGGCCCCGCCCGCTCTGGGTGGCGACCGTCACTGGAACGACACAGAACCAGTTTTCCACCGCGCCTTATCAAGTCATCACGCTGCATCTGTCAGTCCGTCCAGCTCTCGGCCCCAGTTCTGGGCGTCGATCGTTTTCGGATCGCGCCAGCGAGACTTACCCCCAGAGTTCCCCCCCGTGACGCCGCTTTGTTCTGACAGGCAAGGGGCAGCAGCATTGGTACAAATACGGTGTCGGAGGCCAGATTATCCTGCACCTTCCTCCCCCCGGTCTCCAGCTCCTACTGCCGCTGCCTTTTGTCCTCTCAGTGTCCTGGCACCAGTGCCGTAGCTCCGATTAAAGTGAAGGAGCCAGTGTGCAATGGTGATCTTGATCTGACGCGCTGAGCAATCAACGGTGCAGCCCAGGATGCAGTCTTGGCCGAGCAGAGATTCATCGCCTCCAAAGCGCGTGTTGTCCGTGTGCTGCTGCGGTCTCTCCTCCCCGCGCTCCTCCGACTGGCCTCAGGTGCACGACTGGATGAGGCGGCTGTCCCGGTCCGCCACCTCGTCCGTGGAGGGCTTCGTGGCCGCCAGGCAGCCTCCCAAGGAGAGTCGGGCCACCGCCCTTGCCGCTCCTTCTCCTCCTCTTCCTCCTCCTCCTCCTCCTCCTCCTCCTCCTCCTCCTCCTCCTCCTCCTCCTCCTGCTCCTCCCTCCTCCTCTACCCCCCCAGGCCTTCTTTGACGTTCTTGAATTCCTGTGATCTCCACGGGGGCCCTCCTGGGATTGGGCGCAGCTCGAGAAACGTTCAGGAGGGTGTCCAGCGGGGGGCCCTGGGGTTGATTTCGAGAGCAGGAGCGGGCGGGCCAATACGTTCAGGGGGGGGGGCAGTGGCGTCGACAGCGGCCACCATTTGGCGCGTACGCGGGCACCGACACTGGACCCCTTCCATCATATCGCACGCCATGCGCCCGCTACTAGGGTGGCGAGACCTGCGCATGTGGAGACGCACCAAGAAGCATCCAGTGCGTGTCGTGCGCTGTTCCTCTCTCCCTGTTGTTCTCGTTTTTTTGTCTAGTGGCCTGCATGTTCTCGTCACTTTACTACGTGTACGTCGCCTCCTTTCTACCGTCTTCCGTCCAACGGCCGCTGTTTGGTGGTGACAAGTCGTCGGATTATCAGCGCGATGCCAGAGAAACGCAGCTGCATTGGGCATCTACCTCTGCGTCGCAGATTAATGCGATGCTCTGCAGACGTTGTCTTAAAGGCAGACCCCAGATGTGCTACGCTAGTAGAAGACGAACATACGCTGCACCAGAGGAACGTGATTTCTGGCACAGCCTGGCACAACAGGATTGTGAGACGCCCTGGATCCATACTTGCGTGCTTGATGAGCTAGGGAAGCCCGCTTCTCGTTCGGACGTGTTCTGTTTCTGTTTCGGGTGTTGCTAGAAATGCTCCTGGCCCAAGGTGCCCCCCAGCTTTTTTCGCTCCATTTTGGAGCCCCTGGGGTCCTCTGGGCCTCGTGAGGGGTGCCCTGGAGGCCGCCTGGGCCACCCCGAGAACCCTGGGGGTTCCTTGGGCCAGGGGTACTTCTAGCAACACCCGACTGTTCTTTGTTAGAGTTGCCCCTCCCTTTAGCCACTCCATCTCGTCATCCCGCTGCGTTTTCCCTGCCCGCTCCCGTGCTGCCCGTTCCAATCGTCCTCTCCCGATGCTCTCGGCGGCGCGCCGCGGGGGGGGGGGGGCGTGGTGGGGGCGAGCGAGGGGGATTCTCGGAAGGCCTCCCGCCTTTGGGGAGCCATCCGTGATTTCAGAAGGCCCGCCCCTCTGCGAGGCGGGAATTTATACATGACCACCGCCTGGAAGGTCAGTTTTCGGAGCCTCGGCAGGCGGCGGACACGGACACATTCGGGCCCCCGGGGGCCGAAGTCTATCCAGATCCACCGCCCGCCAGGGCACCAGGACGTCGGTTCCCAGGCGGTGGATGTGGATAAAACCCAGCCTCGCACCCTCTGCCTTCTCCCCCTGGCGGTGGATGTGGATAAATCCCCGCCTCGCACCCTCTGCCTCCTCCCCTTGGCACGCCGCCGAGACTCCCCGCCTCGCCTCGTGCTTGGGGCCTCCTGGGCTGCCAGGCTGCCGTCCCGCCCGCCTCCTCGGCCCTCCCTCCTCGCCCTGGGCCCTCCCGGGCCCCTCGTCCCCTCGCCTCCTCCTCATCCCCTTCCCCCTCCCCCTCCCCCCTCCTCCTCCTCCTCCCTCCTCCTCCTCCTCCTCCTCCTCCTCCTCCTCCTCCTCCTCCTCCTCCTCCTCCTCCTCCTCCTCCTCCTCCTCCTCCCCCTCCGTCTCCTCCTCCTCGGGTCGCCTACGGCCCCGGGGGGGAAACCGTCGCCGTCCTCACCGTCGCCGGAGGCCGCCTCGTCCCCCCGCCTCCTCCTCCTCATTCCCCCTGCTCGCCGTGCCTCTGCGCCTGGCCCTCGCCCCGCTGCTCCCCCTCGCTCTCCTCGTGCCCTGCCTCCCCGCCGTTGTCCTCGCGGTCGTCCTCTTCCACGGCCTCGGACTCGTCCTCTCCATCTGTCCCTCCCTCGCTCTCCTTTTCTCCCTCTGTCTCGGGTCTTGGCTCGAGGGCCCCTGTGCTCCGGGCGAGCCGCGACGCACGCCCCCCCCGCGTCCGCCCCCCGCCCGAGAAGTCCCGAGCCGCGCCACACAGCGCGGTATTGAGACGCTTGCCGCCGCGATGGTCGCCAAAGGCTCCCGCCGTTCGCGTGCCACTTCCCGCAAGCCGCCGACGCTCCGTGGCAGAATGCGCAGGCGCCCCCCCTGCCGAGGCCACTCTCGCACGCAAGGAGGCCTGCGTCGCCGCCCTCCTTGCAGGCGGCGGCGCCCGCGCCACTCGGGCACACGACGGCCTGGCGGGCCTGGCGCCTGGCGCACAACCGCCTTTTCCGACTTGGAACGGGCATGTCACAAAGCAAACGCTCCCAGCCCACCCAGCTGCAGGGCGCACCGACGAGGCCCTGCGGGTCCCACAGCACACGCTGCACCAGCAAGATCTCTGAACGGACCAGGACGCAGAGAACAGGACGGCTTTGTTTGGACTGGCTGCACCTCGGGAGATACAGGAAGCTGCTGAAGGACAAGCCCCAGGCGCCGGATGGCGATGACGCTTGTAGCATAGGCGATGGTACATCCTTGCGAAGACAAAGGCCTCCCTGAGGTCATGGCCTAGCACGGCTTCGATGTGATCTGCCCTTGCGGACGAGGAAGCAGCCAGCCCCAACGTCAGCAGACGCCCGCGCGCCCAGCCTGGGCACGCGCATGCTGAAAAAGGGCCTGGCCAACCCCCTGGCTTTGCACGTGGAGCTGCTGGTGGGCGACGTCGTCTTCACCGGCGACGACAACAACGACGACATGGACGACTACGCAGCGACAAAGCGCGACGCGATGATGGGCCCACAGTGATGCTTAGGCTCGCCTTCTCCGCCTCCTACGGTGGGGACGGCGCCCCAATCTCTGCTGATGGCGTTGGCGCTGCAATGGTCGCTGCTCCTGCTCTTCACGATGAACCACTGTCTTGAGCCAGTAATGAAGCGGGAAAACAGCATATCGCCAAACGGCCGCTCGAACTTGGAGATCCTGAGTCAGATGGTGACATTCGTAGTGCTACGTTCTCAGGCGGCTGAGCGCATGGCACTCCCACGGGCGGCACGGCAACTACTAGTGGATCTCCTCAGGTTATGACGACGGTGTTGACACGACAGATGCCAGAGTGCCCTGCCAATCGGCGGCTCCGTTGGACAACGTCGCAGAGGAGCTCAGACTCGAGTGCGCCATCGACTCCTCCACGGTCGGCCAGGGCTTCTCCTTCGCCTTCACCGGCACCACCAGCTCGGAGCGAGCCGTCGTCCACGACATCAACGGCCCTCTCCCATGAGCTCCCGTACTTGGGAGTCAGTTGAGGCCCCGCCCTAGCCGCGGGCGGCGCCGCCAGCGCAGCCTCGGCGGACCGAAGGATGATGGAGTGCGTGGGCTCCTCCTCCTCCTCCTCCTCCTCCTCCTCCTCCTCCTCCTCCTCCTCTCTGCCCCGAAGACCTCGAGCTCGTAGCCTGTCCCCCTTCAGCTTTTTGTTTTTTACACACCTGATCCCCCAAAGGTGGTCGACGATCAGTGTTTTTCTAATCCCCGCGTTTTCGGTGTTTCCAGAATGGCCCTCCCGCTGCATCGCTGGCTCCATTTTCTGGCTCTCGGGGTCCTTCCGGATCATACTCACGCTTCAGCGCTGACCTCATGTCTTTGCTGCGGGTCTTCCAAATCGCGTTCCCGCTGCAGCGTTGGCTCTCGCTTCTGCTTTCTCCAAACCGTCCATTTAATTACGTGTTTCGTCTTGCGTCATGCCAAGTTTCCCTCGGAACTGCGTTCTGCGCCCCTCTGCCACGCCATGCTTTGCGCTGCAGCGCGTCACAACCTAATCTCACGACGTGCTATTGCATGTTACGCTCTGCCGTGCTCTTCTACGCCGTGCACTGCCATCACCACCATGCATCTCGTACCCCCTCTCGGGGTCATATCCCTGCTCGGCATCCGACTGAGCGAATGGCAAGGGAAGGGAGGGAGGGGTAGGACGTCAGATTAAGACGGTTGCGTATTTAGTTTGTCCTCCACCTCCTCTTCCGTCTCCTCTCTCTATGGTTGCTCCGTTGCCTGCCACCGCGTTCTCCTTGTGCATGCAGATCGCTTCATCGGAGTTGCAGCGTAGCGGGTCGGTGCTCCACCCAGCTGGGGATATAGGGAGCTGCTTGCCCTCAGGATCGACTTAAAGGGTCCCTCAGTTGTTGCGCGATCCCCCGAAAATGTTCTGAAGCCAAGGGGCCCCATGATGCGAGAGCATCGACGGACTAAAAGAGGAAGAGTGGAGGGGGCAAAGGAGTAGAATAGAGGAGCCTGGGAGGTGTCTCGGGGGTGCAAACGGGTGTACAAAATGTTCGAAGCGGTAATGCCCCAACCTGGAATGGATCGAGGATCGAGGGGAAATCGAGGAGGAGGAGGATGACGACGAGCGCGGATGAGGAAAGGGTGAGTGGATGATGCTGATAATGGTGATGATGATGATGATGATGATGAGGATGATGGTGATGATGATGGTGATGATACTGATGAAGGTGGTGGTGATGATGCTGATGCCTATGATGATTGCTGGTTATGATGATGGTGATGGTGATACTGGTGGTGATGCTGAGCATGCTGCTGATAAGGATGATGAGTATGAGTATGAGTATGAGTAGGATGGTGATGATGCTGATGATGATGATAGAGGTGATATGATGCCGATGACGAGGAGGACGAGAAGAAGGAGGATGATGATAATGAGCAGGGGGAGGAGGAGGGAGATGAGGAGGAGGAGGAGGAGGAGCGTGGAGAGCATGCTGCGGATGCTGATGATGCTGCTGATGATGATGATGCTGCTGCTGGTGATGATGCTGGTGATGATACAGATGTTGATGAGGATGATGGTGATGCTGCTTCTGATGATGATGATGATGCTGATGATGATGATGATGATGATGCTGATGAGGGTGATGGTGATGGTGATGCTGATGATGCTGTTGCTGATGTTGATGCTGATGCTGTCGCTGATGCTGATTATGATGCTGCTGATGCTGATGGTGCTGATGATGCTGATGATGGTAGTGGTGGTGGTGATGATGATGATGATCATGATGATGATGATGATGACGCTGATGATGATATGATGATGGTGGTAATGATGATGCTAGTGATGATGACGACGATGACGACGACGTTGATGATGATGCTGGTGATGGTGATATTGATGATGATGGTGATGATACTGATGAAGGTGGTGGTGATGATGCTGATGCCTATGCTGATTATGCTGATTCGGATGATGATGATACTGATGGTGATGATGCTGATGCTGATAATGATGCTGATGCTGATGATGATGATGATGATGCTGATGATGATGACGATGATGATGATAGTGGTGATATGATGATGATGATGATGATGATGATGATGATGATGATGATGATGATGATGATGATGATGATGATGATGATGATGATGATGATGATGATGACGAGGAGGACGAGAAGAAGGAGGAGGAGGAGGAGGAGGACAATGAGGACAATGAGCAGGAGGACAATGAGGAGGAGGAGGAGGAGGAGGAGGCGGAGGAGGAGGAGGAGGAGGAGGAGGAGGAGGAGGAGGAGGAGGACCCCACTGGCCCGCGCCGGCGCCGTTTCCCGAGGAGGACGCCGAGGAGGGCCCGATGCCACTGAGCGCCTTCATGGGGCGGTACGAGAACAACGACCGCGACAACGGGGCGCCCCCCTCCCTCCGAAGCGGCGAAATTCTCGAGGATCGGTGCGGCTTGGGCATTGAAGGGCTTCCTGTGGGACTCCTCATCGCCGCGCACGGCCAGCTCCGCCTCGAGATTCTGGTGCAGTCGGGCATTTGATCGAGAAGCCTCCTCCCGAACTTGCAAGTGAGCTGGCCCAGTCTCGTGCGCACGTTCGCCCCCCTCGAGCGTTGACGGCACAATTTGGTCCACGTTCGTTGTGAGAAATGTCCGGAAAGCTGGCCAAGATTTCTGAACTGACAGTCTTTTGGATCACATGGTCGGCTGTAGGAACGCACAGACAGGCACATGGGCAGGGGCGGGGCTTGGGGGGGCGGGCCGATGCTTTGTTCGATGCGCGACCCCTCTGCGCTGAGCCTGGGTCGCACGGCTGGCGCCGTGGGCATCCACCGAATCCAGGAAAAGGGGGAGGGGTGGCGATGAGGAGGGAGGAGGGAGGAGGAGGAGGAGGAGGAGGAGGAGGAGGAGGTGGAGGAGGAGGAGGAGGAGGAGGAGGAGGAGAGGAGGAGGAGGGAGGAGGAGGAGAAGGAGGAGGAGGAGGAGGAGGAGGAGGAAAAGAGGAGGGGGAGGAGGAGAAACACCAGACGTGCGGCACGGCGAACGGCTGAAGAGGCCGGCGCTGCATTTTCGGCGCCGCTGGGGCCATCTGGTACGCGGCCCAGCCGGCGCCCCCCCAGGAGGAGGAGGAGGAGGAGGAGCAGGATGAGGCGGAGCACGAGGAGGAGGGGGAGGGGGAGGGGGAGGGGGAGGAGAAGGAAGACGACGAGGCTCCCAGATTTGGCGTCCCTGGCCAGCTCGCCAAGAAGGGCTGGGGCCGACGGTCGCCTAAGAGGCCTCACCGCTGCGAGAGAGGTTCCCTCAGCCAGGCTAGAGGCGGAAGGCAGTGGCGTTCTGTTTTTTGCGACGCCCCCGCGGCAACTCTCGCGAGCGCCCTGGTGTGGTCGCGCGGGTAGCACCCATACGATGCACAGAGAAGGTCATTTCGAAGAAGAAAAACACCATAAACATAAACTTTTGGCGCTCCGCGCGGATTTCTTGGATCCGCGCTGGGCACCCCAGCGGCGCCTCAGGCGCCGCCCCTGGCGCGCTCCGCGCGCCTGGGAAGGGGGTCCAGCGCAGATTCGAAAAATCCGCGCGGAGCGCCAAGAGTGTATGTTTGTAGGGCTTTTTTTTCTTCGATAACTACCACTAACCCACCGACCACAGACGATGCCATCGCCCACCTGCGCCGCAGCGAGGAGGCAGGTGCGGCACCTGTGTGCCGCTGCGCAGGCACCGCGCACGGCGAAGCCTGCCACAGAGCCTGATCAGATCGTGCATGCCGGGGGGGGGGGGGCGGGCCGATGCCGAGGATTAAGCAGTGGCGAAGCGCCCCGGCTCGCCTATAGCGCCACCAAACAATGTTATAAGAACATTTTGTGGTTCCCACGGAATGTTCTTAGAATATTTCTGGTTGGGACTCTCTTGTTTTAGCACATCGGGCTTATGTTCTAAGAACATTGCTTTTTTGTTTGAGAGCATTATTTGGTTCTAAGAACATGTCGTTGCATGACTACAGGAATGCTGGGACGGTCGGTCCCTGCTCACGAGGAGGTGGGATGAGGGGCCCCCAGATTCAGGACCATACGGGCCAACAAATCCCTGAGCGGCCCTTCTGCCACGACGCGGCCTCCGAAGACCGCCTCCAGGCCCCAGACCCCGCCGTCGCGTTTTCTCTTCGCAGCGTCGACCCCCAGAGGTGTGGACCCCCTTCCCGGCACCGGTGTTCCGCCCCGAGCCGTTTTCTGAGGGCCCCGAGGCCCAGCGAGGGCCCCCGGAGGCCGAAAACAGCGACAAACCTCCCGTCGTGTTGTTTTCGGTTTCTGTTCTCACGGCGCGAGGGCCCCCCGAGGCCGAAAACAGCGAAAAACCTCCCGTCGTGTTTTTGTTGGGCTTCTCCTCACGGCGCGAGGGCGTGGGGCCCCGGCCGTCGCCGAAGGGAAAGGAGGCGGCCCCTTGCCGAGGAGGCGGCCCCGCGGGGCGGCGTCCTGCGGCCCCGGCGAGGGCCCACGGCCACGGGCAGCAGAGCTCTGTGGCGCGGCCTCTCGGCGCCCCGCGGGGCGCCACAGCAGGCGGCACGCGCACACACAAGCACGCCCCACGCAAACACGCACGCACGCACACACACGCACACACACACACACGCACGCACGCACGCACACACACAAACACCACACACACACACATACACACACAAACACCACACACACACGCACACACACAAACACACACACACGCACGCACACACACACAAACACACACACACAAAAACACACAAACACCACACACATACACACATACACACCACACAAACACACAAACACACAAACACACACACACACACACGCACGCACGCACACACAAACACACACACAAACACACACATACACACACCACATAAACACACAAACACACAAACACACACACACACGCACGCACACACAAACACACACACACAAACACACACACAAACACACACACACAAACACCACACACAAACACACACACACACGCAAACACACACACACACAAATGGAACATGGGAGGACACAGAGGGGATGGTGGATAGCCGCGGCCGTCGGGCTACACCTCCGCCAGGACTCTCAGCCGCCCCAGGGCTGTCCAGCACGAGCGAGTTGTGCAAGACGCAGTCGCATCCCATCTTGAACTCCAGGTTGGGGTCCAGCGTGACAGATGTGCCACTGCCGATCTCCTCGGCGGCGGTGGCCGCTGAGCAAGTACAGTATGCAGTGCGCCGCTGGGGGACGAGGCGCCGGCACCGAGCTCGGGGCGTCTGGCTCGGGCGCCTTTTGGTTCCCGCTGCCCTGTCTGGGGGCCTGCGGGCGCCTCGGGCTCCTGCAGCGCAGCGGCCTCAGACGCAGCGGTTGCCTGTGGGCGAGGCTCGCTTACAGTCTTTTTTGGTCTGCGGGTCGAGAGCGAGCCTCTTCCGGTTAAGAGCTAGGCGGGCCGCGCAAAGCACTAATTGGGGAGACAGAGCACAGGCGGGCGGGGCCTCAGGCGGCCGGAGGGCGGGCCGGGGTGCAGGCGGTGCTGAGGGAGGCTCGCTTGCAGGCAGCCGGTGAATAGTAGATGGAGGCCGTCGGCCTGGCGTCTGCGGCACGCCCTGCCGCCGGGCAGGCAGCCGGGCGCCCGCAGCAGCCGCCGCGGAGAGCAGGCAGAAGCGCACGCCCGGGTGTGGCCTGTCCGCTGTTGGCCCTGCTGCTTCCTCTCGCTTCCTTGCCCAGGCCGCGGGCGGCGGCTGCGCGGCGGCGGCCTTCTCGTCCTCCTCGCGGCCGTCTCCTCCTCCTGCTGTGGCGTGGTCGTGGTCGACAGGCAGGTGCAGCTGTAGCGCGCCACGCGGCTCCTGCCAACCTGCCAAGGTGGCCGAGATCGGTGCGATCGGCGGCGGCGGCGGCAGGTGAAGGTCCGCCAGTGCTGGTGCAGCTAGCCTGTGCACCAGCGTGGCGGCCTTCCTCTGGCAGTAGCCCTGCAGCCTAAGCCGGCCTGCCAGCTCTTCCGTGTCGTCCCGTGCTACTTCCACCTGCTCGTCCGTCAGAGGGTCGAAGACAACAGGAGCTACTATGAGGCAGACGAGGTCTGGTGTGGAACTGCTCGGCACAGCCTGGGCAGATGGTGCCCCTGCAATTCTTCTCCCCGTTGTCGATGCCGATGTGGTGCAGGGTGCTGTGTGCCTTTCATGCCGATTGGGTGTGGGATATCTCTCCACAGTCATAACAAACACATGTGTCGTCTTTTACATTTGTGTTGTCATAGAGCTCCGGTGCCTTGAGAACCAACTGATCTGCTAATAGTGCCAGTTGCCTCTCCGAAATGCGGTGTCTAAATTGATCAGCTTGCCAAGATGAGTATCGCACCCGTGTTCTATTGATAGATAGATGGCAATGATGCGCTGACATCTGCGCAAAGTGGTGAATCCAACTCTTTGTGGTGGCCTCTCTTTTTCCACGCAATGCTTGTGTAGCCAACGAAGATCTGTAGCACTGGCGTTGCTCCATGATGCTGGGCCTAGCCAGTTGAGGTCCAACAAGTGTTCAAGCTGCTCGCTGGCGAACTGGCAGATTCTCACCGGGTGGCGCAGTCGCTTTTGTCGTAGTACTGCTGCTACGGGCTGTGGCAAGCGCTAAGTAGGACCTCGTCGTCTAACGTGTGCGAGTCCAGTGCCAGGCTCATTTTAACAGCTGAACGCAGGCCTTGGATCCTCGTTGCGTGCAGCTGGCGTAGTTGATTGCCGTTGGGATTATCCCAGATCTCAGCGTTGTGTAGATCCTCCTCCTCCTCCTCTCCCCTCCTCTGCCTCGATCCTTGAACCTCCTCCTGCAGCTGCTGCTGCTGCTGCTGCTCCTCCTTCTCCTCCTCCTCCTCCTCCTCCTCATCCTCATCCTCATCCTCATCCTCATCCTCTCCCTCCTGCTCCGACGACGGCGACGGCGCTGTCGACGCCGACGGCGACGGCGACGAAACCGACGACGGCGACGTGCCGCGCGCTTCCGTGGCTTAATCAGGGCACCCCGCGCTGCGTGGACGTCGCGGCCGGGAACTCCCACGACACGCTGCTGTGGTCTGCCCCTGGCGGCGCGCGCTGGACGCTCACGCGCACGAGCGATCCGTGCCCCCTGGCAGGGCCCCAAGAGGGCATTTTTTTATTTTCCTTAGGGAAACGTGTATTTTTAGCATATACGGTTTTCTGGGTAGTCGAAGGCCAGACTGTCAGATTGGATTGGGTCCCAAGGGCCAATCTGGCCTGGCCAAACTGGATGATTTGGGTTATTCGCCAGACTGGATTCGCGTTGGCTCCCTCGCCAGATTGCCCCCGTTTGCCAGATTGGGCCTGCCAGATTGGCGCCAGATTGGCTTCGACTACCCAGGTTTTTCGGCTCTCACGGCGTTGACGACGGCCCAATTGGGCCCCCAAGACCGCCCCAAAAGACGGCCCAAGAGGCTTCCAAGGGGCCCCCCGAAGCGGCCGAAGCCTCGGCTGTTTGGCGCCGGCTCGTCGAGGCCCCTTTCTCCCGCCAGGGGGCTGGTGAGGCTTCGGGCGCTGCGCGCAGGCATCCCCTCCCCCCCCAGGTACTCCAGATTTCGTAATAAAAGGGAGGGGGTCTGGACCCTCCAAGACAAGCCATTTCAGACCTCCCCCGTGGGAGAACCCTCCGAAACATCGTCCCCAGACCCCCCCAGGCCCTCCAAGATAGCCTGGAAGAGACCCCCCCCCCGAAATGAGACCCCCCTCTCGTTATTACGAAATCTGGAGTACTTCGTCCCGTCTGGCCTCGACAGGCACCGAGAGAGTAGTCTTGGGGCAGTGTCAACGCAGAGGGGGAGGAAGGTACCCACACTGCCACCCTTGCTCGTCTTCCCCTTGTGGGGCCTCCTGGGAGGCCCTCGTCGCCACCGCTGGATTCGCTTTGAAATCCTGGTCAGAACGCATCCTGGGAGAGGTCTGGAGTGCAGGTGTGGGCACCTCTCGACTGGCAATACTCGTCCTCCCCCCTCCTCGTCCCTCCCCTATCTCCCTCCGAGTGTATTCGGTCCCACTCCGTCAAGAAGCCCGCGCGAAAAACCTTTCCTGACATGAACGGGAAGCGCGTGAAATCAAAGAGTTTGGCAAGAACGTGCGCCAACATCAAGTTCGCATGTCGCGTAGGCGCTCTTCCCGAACGTCCACAAGGGGTGCCAGGTGGATTTCGCTGTCCGCGCCAGTTCAGACGCACCGCTGACCCCGAACGTCAGCAAAAAGAACCAGATTGAGTTCACGATCCGCGCAAATTCCGACGTGCCGCTCACTCCGAGCGTCCACACAAGATACCATATGGAATGCACAATCCGCGCAACTTCAGTCACCGCTCACCGCGAACGTCCACAAAACATAACAGATAGAGTTCACTACCCGCGCGAGTTTAGACGTCGCTCTTACCCCGAACGCCCACAAAATATATCAGGTGGAGTTCACTTCCCGCGCGAGTTCAAAACTTGTCGGAGGATGTCTCGAGCGAAATGCTCTGCTTTTAACAAAACTGTTGAACACACGTCGGTTTTTCAATAATTCTGCCGTCGAGGACCCGTCCGACGGCAATTGTTGGAGGATTTCTCGAGCGAAGCGCTGATTTGTCAACGAAAGCGCTAAAACAACGAGGGTTTGTTTCAATAGTTTCGCTTCTTGGGCCATCTTGGAGGTCATCCGAGATCGCTCCGAAAAGATGCCTTACAAGAGCTCTGTCGGCATCCCATTTGTTCGAGGATGTCTCGGGCGAAACGCCCATTTTCGAGGATCCGAAAATTTGGCGAGCGACTTCAAGATCTCCATTTTTGGAGGTTGTCTCGAGCGAAACGCCCATTTGTAGCAACATGCGTCTTCAGATACGACCCTCAAAGTCACGATGTTGTGAGGATGTCTCGAGCGAAACGCTCGTTAACAAAAAGCCTTTCTTGACATGGACGGGAAGCGCGTGAAATCAAAGAGCTTGGCAAGAACCTGCACCAACATCAAGTTCGCATGTCGCGTAGGCGCTCTTCCCGAACATCCACAGGGGGTACCAGGTGGACTTCGCTATCCGCGCCAATTCAGACGCACCGCTGACCCCGAACGTCAGCAAACAGAACCAGATTGAGTTCACGATCCGCGCAAATTCCGACGTGCCGTTCGCCCCGAACGTCCACAAAAGACACCACATGGACTTCGCAATCCGCGCAACTTCAGTCACCGCTCACCGCGAACGTCCACAAACGGTACCAGGTAGAGTTCACTACCCGCGCGAGTTTGGACGTCGCTCTTACCTCGACCGCCCACAAAAGATATCAGGTGGAGTTCACTTTCCGCGCGAGTTCAAAACTTGTTGGAGGATGCCTCGAGCGAAATGCTTTGTGTTTAACAAAACTTGTGAAAACCAATCGTTTTTTAATGATTCCGCTTTCGAGGACCCGTCCGAAATCATTTTTAGGAGGATGTCTCGAGCGAAGCGCTTTTCTGGTCTTCAGCGAAAGTGTTCTAAACACGTAGATTTTTCAATATTTTCGCTTCTTGGGCCATCTTGGAGGTCATCCGAGGTCGCTCCGAAAAGATGCCTCACAAGAGTTCTGTCGGCATCCCATGTTTTCGAGGATGTCTCGGGCGAAACGCCCATTTTCGAGGATCCGAAAATTAGGCGAGCGATTTCAACATCCCGATTGTTTGAGCATGTCTCGAGCGAAACGCCCATGTTTAGCACATGGCATCTTAAGATACGACCCCCAGACTTCCCGATGTCGTGCAGATGTCTCGAGCGAAACGCTCGTTCTTAAAACCTTTCTTGACATGAACGGGAAGCGCGTGAAATCAATGAGCTTGGCAAGAACGTGCCCCAACATCAAGTTCGCATGTCGCGTAGGCGCTGTTCCCGAACGTCCACAGGGGGTACCCGGTGGACTTCGCTACCCGCGCCAATTCAGAAGTGCAGCTGGCCCCGAACGTCTGCAACAAGAACCGGATTGAGTTCACCATCCGCACAAATTCCGACGTGCCGCTCACTCCGAGCGTCCACAAAATACCAAATGGAATTCACAATCCGCGCAACTTCAGTCACCGCCCACCGCGAGCGTCCACAAAAGATAATAGATAGAGTTCACTACCCGCGCGAGTTTGGACGCCGCTCTTACCCCGGACGCCCACAAAAGATACCAGGTGGAGTTCACGTTCCGCGCGAGTTCTAAACTTGTCAGAGGATGTCTCGAGCGAGGTGCTCCGTTTTTAACAAAACTGTTGAACACCCATCGGTTTTTCAATAATTTTGCTTTCGAGGACTCGTCCAAGGGCAATTGTTGGAGGATGTCTCGAGCGAAACGCTGATTGTTTAACGAAAGCGTTAAAAACACTAGGGTTTTTCAATCTTGTCGCTTCTTGGGCCATCTTGGAGGTCATCCGAGATCGCTCCGAAAAGATGCCTCACAAGAGCTCTGTCGGCATCCCATCTTTTCGAGGATGTCTCGGGCGAAACGCCCATTTTCGAGGATCCGAAAATTAGGCGAGCGATTTCAACATCCCGATTGTTTGAGGGTGTCTCGAGCGAAACGCCCACTTTTAGCAAACTACGTCTTAAGATACGACCCCCCAACTGTACGATTTTGGTGAGGATGTCCAGAGCGAAACGCTCGTTGTTAAAACCTTTCCTGACATGAACGGGAAGCGCGTGAAAGGGAAGAGTTGCGCAAGCACTTGCAGCATCATCGTGATCAAATGTAATATAGGCGAACCCTCCGAACGCTCACAAAGGATACGTATGGACACGCGCCCCCCGAACGTTTACAAGCATCTTCCTGGTTATCCTCATCACTCCTCCGCATGAGGAGGACGACGGCGAAAACGACAATCGTGGAAGGAGGGAGAGGAGGATGAGGAGGAGGAGGAAGAGGAGGATGGGGAGGAATAGGAGGAGGAGGACCAGCAGCAGCAGCAAAAGCAGGAATAGAGGGTGAGGAGGGGACGGGGAGGAGGACGAGGAAGAGGAGGAACAGGAGCAGGAGGAGGAGGAGGAAGACGAGGCGGAGGAGAAGGAAAGATAAGGAGGAAGAACGAGAGGAGGAGGAGGAGGAGGAGGAGGAGGAAGAGGAGTAGGAGGAGCAAGAACAGGAGGAGGAAGAGGAGGAGAAGGAGGAGGAGGAGGAGAAAGAGAAGGAGAAGGAGAAGGAGAAGGAGGAAGAGGAGGAGGAGGAGGAGGAGCAGGAGGAAGAGGAGGAGGAGGAGGAGGAGGAGGAGGAGGAGGAGGAGGAGGAGGAGAAGGAGCAGACCAGATGGCGTTGAGGGCCCGTCCGAAGGCATTTTGTAAGGGATGTCTCGAGCGAAACGTTGATTTTTCAACGACATGTTGGAGGTCATCCGAGATCGCTCCGAAAAGATGCCCTACACGAGCTCTGTCGGCATCCCATGTTTTCGAGGATGTCTCGGGCGAAACGCACATTTTTGAGGATCCGAAAATTAGGCGAGCGATTTCAAGATCTCCATTTTTGGAGGTTGTCTCGAGCGAAACGCCCATTTGTAGCAACATACGTCTTAAGATACGACCCCCAACTTCACGATTTGTGAGGATGTTTCGAGCGAAACGCTCTTTTTGGGAATCCGCCACGTCCTGCGCCCCGAGGCGGCGCCGCGCGTTCCCCCCCAGACCCCCCCCAGTTGATAAAAAGATCCTTGTGGGCACATAGACGTCCATCGCGCGACTCTTCGAGTCTTAGCGCGCTTCTCGTCATCCGCCACGTCCCGATCAAGGCCCGACCCCGCCACCACTCTTCCCCTGGACCCCTCCACTTGATAAATATTATCCCTCCGGGCCGATGAGCCACGTCCATCGCGCGACTCTTCGAGTCAAAGCGCGCTTCCCGTCATCCGCCACGTCCCGGTCAAGGCCCGGCCCCGCCACCACTCCTCCCCTGGACCCCTCCACTTGATAAATATCATCCGTCCGGGCCGATGAGCCACGTCCATCGCGCGACTCTTCGAGTCAAAGCGCGCTTCCCGTCATCCGCCACGTCCCGATCAAAGCCCCACCCCGCCACCACTCCTCCCCTGGACCCCTCCACTTGATAAATATTTTCCCTCCGGGCCGATGAGCCACGTCCATCGCGCAACTCTTCGAG